TGATTTTCTCAAACCAGAAAGAAATGTATTGATTTTCTCAAACCAAATACTCCTAGATCTATATATTATAGTACTAGTGATGCTTGCATTAGTTTCCTAGGAATCTAATGATAACGAATAAAGAAACAAATTGTCTACTGGCCAGTGAAAATAAATCAAAAAGGAACAAAGCTCTGGAAACACTTGGATGACGCTTGGGTTTGCTTTTACTAATAATGTGATCTAACGCTAAAGACTAAAGAAAAAGATTGTCCAACCTGCCCACTGCCATGTGAGCATAAATCAACAGGAACAAAAGCGCTCAAAACACACATCCCATAGGTGCCTTTTTGGTTTCTTTCTCTAAAGAAGAATGAAGTAAAGCTCTCATAACACACACATGCCCCGAGAAAAACAAAAGAAAAAACATTTCACTACTTCGGCATCCAGTGCACATCGTGGTGAAAGGCAAAGGCAAAAACGGTTATAGCAGCTGTCACTGGTAGAGAACAGAGCTTTACTCCCGGTGGAGAATTTCCTCTAGTCCCGGTTCCCCACCCAGGAGTAAGCATCCGGGACTAAAGGGGGTCATTTAGTCCCGGGTCAAGAACGACCTTTAGTCCCGGTGGGTAACACCAACCGGGACTAAAGGTCCTCCCAGCTTTAAAAAAATAATGTCTCCCACCGCTGCGTCTCGTGAGATTCAAACCCATGACCTCATGCATTGTCTCGCGCGTAGCTTACCACCCCACCTACACAACACATCTAACAATGGATGGGATGCTTTCCTTTTGAACTAACCCATCGGAGGACCTTTAGTCCCGGTTGGCAACACTAACCAGGACTAAAGGGTCCTTTAGTCCGGGTTGGTGTTACCAACCGGGTCTAAAGGGTCTACTTTTAGTCCTGGTTGGTGTTACCAACCGGGACTAAAGGTTGAGGACTTTTAGTCCCGGTTGGTGGCTCCAACCGGGAGTAAAGGTCCACCTTTAGTCCCGGGCGCAAAAAATGTCGGGACTAAAGCCCATTTTAGCATCGGATGAAAGGTCTGTTCTCTACTAGTGTGTTAATCTGCTTTGTCCTTTAAAGCTAGTACTAATCTTCTGGGTGCATCGGTTTTGGAAAGATACATCCCTCTCAATTCATAGTGTCTTAATATTATTTTCTTTGTGAATTAATTGTTGTTTGACAATGTGACTAGGGACAAATTTGCACCCGGAGCTGGGGGGCCATAGCCTCGTTCCAGCTCAAAACAAAGTGACTACTACCGTTAAATGTTCTATATAAACAGTCTATAAAACACTACACCAGAAACAGACAATCAGTACCAGGTCAGAACCCTATCAATGCCAGAATTGCGTCCAGTAGAGGACAATCGGCCATGATGGGGGTGGCCTGTCATTGCCGGTTTGTCGACCTAGTAGTGATATCGTGGTATTATTGTCAGGTCAAAGCATCATCTGACAATCCACAAGATCAAACCGACCTTCAATCAACAATGGAGATCAAGGGAAAGTGTACTTCTTTGCATGGGAATTGCTCAAGGTCGGTGGAGGAAGTTCCACCATTGGGCACCCCCTATGATAGTTGGGGCCACACCCGTCTGGTGGGCTCCTTGATGTGTAATGTGGGTTTGCACATGTGCGCCCATGTTGTCATGTCAGTTTCCACCTTGTGGGCCAACGATTCCATGTGACTTCATCTTACACCATTTAGAGGAAACACACTTGTGATCCAAGGGTTGATATTGCTCTTGGAGGTGTTTGGGAGGATTGCCATGGCTTGAGAAGGGGCAGTGGGCCCATAGGGGGTCGGCCGACCCCCTATGTGGGCCCACAGCCACCCAAATTCCTTCAATATGTATCAACAAGAAAATAATGATATGTACACGTGGAACCATGTTTTTTGTGCAACAAGAACAACTAGTTTGCTTGTTTACTCCAAAAAAGGATGTTTTGTTGACAGTTTAGATTATGCAAATCTATGATGAAACTACCATCAAGAAGACCCCCCCCCCACACACACACACAATTAAGTCTTTGCTCGTCCTCAAGTAAAGGCTAGAAACAAAGCAAGCATGAACATGAAATCTTAAGATTTATAGCTAACATAAAAGTTATTCCAAAACATTCCTCATACAGGTGGGATATGTGGCATTGGCTAACGTATATCCTTCAACGGTTCAAAAGTGGAATGGTTCTCGAAGCAAAAGTCATCTTCCCATTTTCACATCTTAGTACATACTTGGAGTTTTTGAAAGATTTTCACAAGAAAAGACATAGTTTTGAATTGCCTTCTCTTTGTTTCATCCTACTTCTATCAAACTTATGTGGCGGTCAAGTAGGGATAAACATGAAACCATACTTGCATTGCATGTATTGTAAAGTCAAAACAAGGATCCAAGAAGAAAAATGTCATACTCTTGGATCAAGAAATGCATGTGAGTGAAACATTATGATAAATTTTATTGCACTCCTTTAGCAAGCACGATCTCTCTCTCTCTCTCTCTCTAACTTATGACAATTGTGAGACATGTCTATCTTTTTTTACCAATGCTTGGACTTTCACATGTCCATATTTTTCTACTATTTTTGCATAGCCAATGTCTCTTTTGCAAGACTCTTTAGAGATAGACCACACTATATACTTTGGAATATTTATTTGGTAGAATGAAAGGCATGTTGTGCGTACTTCCAGTGTAGAAGCAGCATGTATGTGATTTTAATCTTGTGAGCATGATAAATTTCTCAACAAGGGTCAAAAAGGTTTGACCAAACTCAACGCAATAACAAGTAGCATATGTAGAAGGTTCGAACATGTTTGAACATAGCATATGGATTTGGTAGGTACACTAGAGCTTCTTTATTCAATTCATGCAGCAACCACTGGATTTGTACTGCCATCGATATCAAGGAAGGCATGGCTTTGGTCATGGATCCACTTTATAAGGACGAGGCAACATACAAAGACTTCCTAAGTAACTTGTATATATATATGCATAAATAATTGTTACTACATTCACTTTTGGATACTAACTTGTATTTATTGAATTCCTTATAATAGGGCATACTGGCACTACGTTCAAAAGCTCAAAGGGAAACAAAATGAACAAAGGAAGGGTGAGTTGTATATCAAATCAAAATGGGCAGTAAGTCTCACTTACTATAGCACTTCCATTACCTTCCTGTCACAAGCATTACTTAGCATTTTGAAATGTGAAACACATAGTGCCACAAGCAAAAGTATGGGAGTGTACACTGTGGATATTACGTCTGCTATTACATGAGTGTCACAGGGAGGTACAGGAGACACCCTGATAGGGTAAGTTATATAGTTCACCTCGCACTATAATAACTTGGCAGCACACGAATGCATATATGTTATGAAATGTTAATCCTAGTATTGCTTTCTTACAGTGGCCTGACGATAGCTATATTAGTAATAGACCACTCAACGATGATGACCTCCTGCAGCTCGTCAAGTACCTTGCAAGTTCATAATCAAAGAGATTGTACACAAGAACGTCAACCTGAGTGCATGTTTCTTCGTGAGTGGGAAAAACTAAGCAATGTCGTTGATGACAATGTGAATGTAATGTGACACTAGTCTTGTTTATGTAATGTGACATAAGTCTTGTTTGACGTTACCTTTGCATTTGTGTGGATGGTACAGTACTGATGAATGTGATATAGCAAATAATGTGTAATATTATTCAATGTGTTATATGTATTATGTTGATGAGGTGTTAGTGCAATCGTGTAGAGTTTGGTGGATATGGATATATACACATATATATGTTTCGGTGATTTTTACATTCCTAATTTGAATTTAAAATTTGGCAGGAAAATTGATTATAGGGGGCGGCTAGCCGCCCTAACAAACAAATCTCTAGAGGCGTCTAGAGTTATCCATCCCTAGAAAGATGATTTGTAGAGGTGGCTGGTAATTCCAGTCGCCCCTACAAAACTATTCTTAGAGGTGGATGATATTACCAACCGTCTTTACAAATCAGTTCTCTAGGAAGAAATCCATAATTTCAAGAGACGGTTTGGACGGCTGGCTCAGCTGCCTCTATAGTGTCACACCAGCCGCACCTGTAGAGCCTGGCTACAGTAGTGTCAGATGAGTTTCCGCGCTGAGTTATCTTAGTAATTATATATGTATAGACTAAGATTAAGATTTGATTGTGCTAAGGGTAATACTTTTCAAATCGTTTGTGGTCGCATTGCTGGTTTCTTTTGTACAGTTGAAGGTAAAGTTAACGGTGGAATTGATTAAAGAACAAAGACAATGGACAACAAGCGAAGAGGTGCCTGATGCCATCATTTTTCCACATGATGCGTATGTGATCTCACTTTGAATTACATTTTTGGTGATTTAATCTGATTCTCTACGTTGTGTTCATTATTATAGTAACTTTTTTCGATGAGCTCTGCTGCTTTATTTAAACCAAATTAAAGGATCGGACAGATATTCAGAAAAGACAAAAGGGCAGAGCGAGAAGCAAGTGTGACTGTAACGACACATGCAGCTGCGTTGATTGTTAGGGGCCTGTTCGATATGGCTTCTCGGCGGCGGCTCCAGCTCAGGTTTCTTCGAACGAGCTTTACCAAATGTTTTATAGAAAGAGCCATTTTTAAGTGAAAAACAAAAGAGCCTGAGCTGTTGTGGAGAAGCCACAAATTATGGATACTCCAAAATGACTCCGGCTTTTCCGACGAAGCCCCTCGAGAGAAGCCATGTCAAACAACTCTTTATTAAATAAAGCTATAGCGGGCTATAGCCGATAAATTGCACATGAATATAAATAGTTTCACCTATCTTAAACAGCTGTAGCGTCACTATAGCAAAAGGTTTAGAACCTTTATTACTACATATGCCTGCACGAAGCCACGAACCGCTGACACTCGAAGCATCCAACTACACCTAGCAGCCTAGCACTGATGATTTGTCCCACGGAGCTCTACTAATGCCACTTTGCGAGCCCTGTCATTGATCGATCTCACTCTCAAGTCTGAACTATGAAGAAGATGGTATCCGACGGCTATCCATTGTGCGATATCGACAATAGTGCAACCCCACGGCTTCCCTTCGTGTACAACCTTACCATCTTCTACTCGGAGGCCGATCTGCGAGGAGATGAGGCCCTCATGGTGGCCACATCCATCCTCATGTTCGCCCTCGCCGTGCTCTTCTTCATCCTCAACCTCTTCAGCCGTTTCTCCGATGGTAGCGCCAACCTCAACCCAAGCATCCGCATATTCCTCTCCTCCATGCTCTCGCTCTTCCTCCCCGCCACGTCGTACCTCTTCTCGGAGGCCAAGAACCAGAGCAAGGCTGGACATCTGGAAGACCTGTCGATCCGCGCCCGGACCATCCTCATGTGGATGCTCCTGGTGGAGCTGCTCCGCAAGAAGGTGGAGTCCATCCTGCTCACCGCAGGCATACAGGTGTATTCGCACACCGTCGAGCGCGGTGCCCGGGTTGTCTGGCTGGGCAGCCTCATCTTCTTCAACTTGAAGAGCACTGGCAAGAAGGCCCTGTATGGCATCCTGTGGGTGCTTGCGGCTGCCAAGCTGGTCCAGAGGTTCGCGATCATAGAGCTGGCAAAGCGCTCCTTCGCCTACCGCAAGAACCCCAGGCTGCTCAGCGCATACATGGCCGAGATGCTAAAGCTTCCTGCAGATCATCATCGTCATCTCCACCAGAAAGCAGCAGATGAGCAGTGCTCGCCGAGAAGCGATGATGGCGGAGGACAGCCTCGGTGGTCCGACGCTCTGAGGTCCTGCAACTATGCCGTGATGGGCGAAGAAGACCTCAAGAGGGAGCCTGGGCCCCATGGCTACAAGCTCGTGCTAGTGAAGCCGACACCGACAGAAGGGGTAGCAGCCGCCGACAGCGACGACGACTCGACGTCATACTCATACATTGAGGATGTGGTCACTGTCGGCAGAATCTGGAGGCTTGCCGACACTAACCTGTTGCTCCGCAGGGACCCAAGGTTGAAGAGACTCTGCCTCTCCTTTGCGCTCTACAAGTTGCTACGCCGGAGATTGGAGGATCTCCCCATCACCCACCTGGAGGCCTCCAACTGCCACGACCTCATCTTCAACGGCCTTCTGGTAGAAAAAGGAGGACGGCGAGGAGAACGCGATGCGGCTGTCGCCGTGATCCAAGTGTTCAGTGACGAAATCCAGTTCCTCTGCGAGTACTACCACTCCATCCATCCCGTGGTGGTGGCCAGCCCCTTCTTCTTCGTGCACAACTACATCCTGTTCCCCATCATTGTCCTGGCGCTGTGCCTACTCATGCTAACTCTGTGCAGCAACGGGGACGTGCACTACGCCTTCCACAGCTTCACCAACGACAACTACGTCATGTCGACTGGCATACTGAAGATGGCCGGGTGCATCCTCCGCCGTGCTTCGCGGTCCGCCCCGTATCTCTTCTGCAGCATCGACATATCCATCACCTTCCTGCTACTCCTCACCTTAGCCTACGAGGAGGTCTGGGAGGTCATCGTCTTCCTGCTCTCCAACTGGTTCATGGTGTCGCTGCTCTGCAGCCACACCTCCTCGGCCACGTGGCGCACGCACCGGGTGCTGAGAAGGGTCATCCCCGCCATCGTCGCCGCGAGGAACACGATGATGAACCAACACAATGTCCGCATCAAGCAGCTGTCTGTGCTGTGGTTCAGCCGGCCGCCGCTGCCATGGTTGCCGCTGCCGCTGTCTACCACTGGCATGGCAGTTGTTCCCATGGAAGCAAAGAAGTTGATCGTGGAACGCCTAGCCAGAGCCAGCTACCATGCCCACCCTCTCAGCAACGGCATGCCTGTTGTACTGTCGGGCGAGCACCGCGAGCTCTCGTGGGCGTGTGACAGCTCCGGTGGCGTTGCCGAGGTCATTCTCGTCTGGCACATCGCCACTTCGCTGCTGGAGGCGAGGTGCCCGGGGCAGAAGGGCACACAGCCGGAACCCGGGCGCGCCGCGGCCACGGCGCTGTCCCGGTACTGCGCCTACCTGGTGGCCTTCCATCCGAAGCTCCTCCCGGACGACAAGGACGGCACGAAGTTCCTGTACGCCGGCGTGAAGAGGGATCTGAGGAAGCTGATGGGGTGGTGCGCTTACTACTGCTCCAGGGAGGTGGACGTGTCCAACAAGCTGTTGGACATTGCCGTGCAGCAGCAGCCACAGCAGGGGACGAGCAAGGTGATATGCAAGGGAGCCAGGCTGGGGAAGGCTCTGATCGACAAGTACAAAGACGGCGCGCGCGAGAGCGTGTGGAAGCTGCTGGGAGACCTCTGGACGGAGGTGGCGACCTACGCGGCGCCGGCGAGCGGCGAGATGCACGTCAAGGCACATAAGGAGGCGCTGGTGGGGGGCGGCGAGTTCATCACCGTGCTCTGGGCAATAGCCACCCACACCGGCATAACCCGGCAGGAAGATTCGGTGGAGCCGCCGCCTCCATCCGCTTCCGTTTCCTGTCGTGTTTAATTTCAATTATGTCGCGTCGATGATGGCATGGTTGGTGAGAGTTTGTTGCAAGCATGGTTTGTGTGTGTGTTGATTCCAGCATGGTGTGTGTTGGTGTGACCGTGTGAGCGTTTTTTTCATAAGACTTGCCGCGCTGCTTCCTTCGGCTCTCGTTTCATTTTTTTTTTTTAATTATACAAGCAGCCACGCCTAATGCACGAAGCGGAGTCACAAGCCGAACATAATCCATCGACGAACGAACGATAAAGATCAGATTGTCTTGAAACATAAATTATAAAAGAAAGTATCCAAATTTTTCTTAAACTATTACAACTTGAGTTCTAGCCCCACCAAAGCATAACTGTAATAACCTATAATAAATCATCGAATGCGAATAATCCACAAACAAATATTATGAGCTAGCTGCGCTGCATCTGTTTGTTGTTGCTAGAAGCTGATGATGCTAGCCGCTCATGTTCTTCTTGCTAATGAACATATATATCATTGTATTAGAAGAATGCAAGTTTAGATAACAAGAGTAAGCGACCGAAGGCCGCGCTGAACACAGGGGCTACATTGCTATATAACAACACACGACTCCAGGAGAGGACCTGCCATGGCTAATGCCCAACGAGGCTTCCAAGGCCTTTTGCTCCGGCCTGAATCCATCGGTCTCCTTCATCCTTGATGAGCTGCATAAGCTCGGTCGCCGAGGTCGAAGACCCGCGAAAGCATCTTGCATTGCGCTCTTTCCACACATGCCAAGACACAAGGGCAAACAGAGAGTCCATGCCGGACCGCTGCGGATCGTTGCAGCCTGCTCGAAGATGCTTCCACCAGCTGAAAGTTGTTGAGGCGAGTTGTGGAAACGGTCTGTGTAGCACTTGTAGGATGCGGTGCCATACCTCACGTGAGTAGGAGCATGAAGCGATGATATGATCGATGGTCTCCACCTCTTGATCACACAGGTAGCACATTTCCCTTGACTTGAGCCCGCGTCGCAACCTTCTATCCCCAGTCCAATGGTGCCGCCAAGGGCCAGCCAAAGAAAATTTTTACCTTAAGTGGCGCCCACGCCTTCCAAACTAGATGATGGCCTTTGAATTTGATTGATCCAGCGTAGCATCTTGTATGCGACCGAGCGGAATATGCTCCATCTTGAGTCCAGCGCCAGATAAGCTTGTCTGCTTGATTGCCGGAGCGTACGCTGTCGGTTGCCTCCCAGATGTGCAGGTATTCGCCGATAGCGTCAGCAGACATTCTGCCCGAAATACCCCGGACCCACTGCCTTTGTGTCATGCTTGCCTAACCGTTAGGGTCACGCAAGTACGCGTGGGGATCAGTTGGTCGAGGCATGGAGCCACTTCCTTCAGCGGCATTCCATTGAGACAGCAGTCTTCCCAGAAGAGAGCCGTGTGGCCATCTCCGATCTCCATGAACGTGGACGCCCTGAAGAACGCCTAAACTTGAGGCGCAGTCTTGATTGGCAGCTGACTCCAAGCCCGGTCCGCGTCAGTCTTTTGCAACCATAACCATCCGGTCTGGAGCGCATATCCAGTTAACATGAGGTCGCTAACACCAAGCCCTCCCAGCGTTGTTGTCTTGCAGACAATCGGCCAAGACACCATACACTTCCCCTTCACCGAAGCGTCATTGCCTGCCTAGAAGAATTTCCTGCATATGGCATCAACCTCATTGCGTGCCCAAGTTGGCAAGTCTTCGGCCATCATAGCGTAGATTAGCACTGCACGGCACTGATTTCTCCTAGACCAGGCGACCACTCCTAGCCATGAGTGAGCCGTGAGAGGGTGGCAGCTTCCGGGCGATGGATTCTACTACCTCCTGGAAATGTGTCTTTGGGATCTGTTTGGTACTCAGTGGCGGTCCAAGATATTTGAGAGGAAAGGGCTAAACCTGACAACCGAATATACTAACTATATTGTCAATATTGTCTTCCCCACCATATATCGAAGTGATTGAACATTTTGATAGGTTGGTCTTCAGTCCTGACGCCTCTCCGAAGATGATTAGGATTCTCTTGACTGCCCGAGCTTCCTGGACTCTTGGCCGAATGAAGAGGATCACATCACCAGCGTACATGCTGCACTGATAACGGACTTCGGATGGCTCCAATTTCCGAAGCACTCTGTTGTGGGTGACCTTGATGAATAGCCTATGCAACACATCAATTGCAAAGATGAAGAGCATCGGTGATAATGAATCCCCTTGCCGCACTGCCCGCAAGTGCTTGATCGGTGGTCCTTGCCGTCCGTTAAGTAGGATTCGTGAAGACGCTGTACAGAGCAGGGCTTCGATCCATCTGCGCCAGTTGTCACCAAAACCCCATGCCTGGAGGACCTCCAATAGGAATGGCCTGGAGATAGTATCAAAAGTCTTCGAGATGTCCAGTTTCAAAAGCAGCATTGGGATCTTTTTTTTTCTGATCATAACCGCCACCCTCTGGACAAATTTGAAGTTGTCGTGTATGATTCTGTTCCTGACGAAAGCGTTCTGGTTCTTTGCAATGATATGCTGGAGCCGAGGTGCAAGACACAAAGCCATCAGCTTGGACACAAGCTTGGCAAAGCTATGCACCATGGTTATTGGCCGGAAGTCTCCTGGTGCCGAAGGGCCCACCTTCTTTGGCAGCAGCACAATCAGATCGTTGTTTAGTCTGTGCATTGACCTGGTGTCATGTTGTGTGAACGCTTGTATTGCCTCCATGACCTCCAGCCGGATGAGGTGCCGGGTAGATTTGTAAAATGCCCCGGTGAAGCCGTCGGGGCCCGGCGCCTTATCCGTCGGCATTGCCTGGATGGCCGCCCACACTTCCTCCAAGGAGAATGGGACCTCTTGATCAGCTAAATCAATTGGTTCAATACCCAGCGCCTGAAAGTTCAATGTGTTGCCCGTGGACGCGGCAGTCCCGAACACTCCTTCAAAATGTGCGTGGAGCACAGCTTCCATCCCGTCGTGGTCTGCGACCAAGTGGCCGTGCACATTAAGGGAGGTTATGAAGTTCCTCCGCTTCCTGCCCCTAGCAATGAGATGGAAGTAGGCGGTGTTCGCGTCCCTTCCTGAAGTTGCCTGACTCTCGACTTTTGTCTGGCAATTGTCCTGTCCAAGGATGAGAGACCGAGGCAGCGCATCTTCATGCGTTTTCTGAGTTCCGACTCCTCTGGCAACAGCTGAGCTGTCGTTGCTCTTGTGCAGTGTCCAGGTGCAGTACTAGCTCTCTAGCCATCAACAGTTGCGACCTGATCTCTCCAATTCTTGTTGAAGACCACCGCTGCAACTCCCTGACCACTCCCCTTATTAGCATGTCGTCAAGGCGCAGCAGCGGGTCCATGTGGTTGCCAGGTCTCCTCCAAGCCCGCACGACCGTGTCCTCGAAGTCGTCGAACTTGGGCCAGAACACCTCAAAGTGAAACCTGGTTTTATGCATCCGGCCCAGATTAGTCTGCAGCAACAATGGCCAGTGGTCCAATGCGTCCGAACCTAAACCCTGCAGGTGAGCGTTGGGGAACAATTCATCCCAATCCATAGACACCAGGACACGATCCAGACGGACCAAGGTTGGATTCTCCCTTTCGTTACTCCATGTGAATGCCCGGCCATGTAGGTGTAGGTCTTGTAGTTCCAGGGCAGCCACCGTGCGCCTGAATCAGCGGAGATTTGCCTTGTCAATCCGGTCGTTACTCTTGTCCTCCTCGTTGAGGATGAGACTGAAGTCTCCTGTGACCACCCAGGGTCCCTGACAAGCATCCCGTATTGCCTCAAGTTCCTCAAGGAAGATGGCTTTGTCCCTGTCCTCCTGAGGGCCGTAGACGGCAGTGAGCCACCAGTTAGGCGCAGCGATATCTGCGTTCGTCGCTGGCTTGACCGCAATGGTGACGGAGTAGCACCCCACAAGGACATCAGAGACGACGACGTCCTGGTGTTTGGCCGCAACCAGAATACCTCCGCGTGCGTTAGAAGCCGGTAGGTAAGCGAACTCTCCATAGTTCATACTGAGCATGGAGAGTACCAGAGACTAGGGAATGGCTCCCAACTTGGTCTCCATCAGACAGACTATGCTCGGTCTGATGTCGTTCACAAGCGTTCTTACATTGTCTCGCTGCGCTCTCGCATTGAGGCCACGAAGGTTCCAGGAAACAACGGTCATGTTATCCATTGAGATGTACAACTTGGTCCAGGCACACCGAACCGCCTAGACGGCGATCATCGTGGGCCGGCGGGTCGCTCTACCAGCCCGCATTTGAACTGCTGGGAGCAACTCATCCAAGGCCGCTACTTGTGTCGACGACAGGTTAACCTTGAAGATGGACTCGTACAAGCGTTTCACTGAAGAAGAGACTGGCAGCGGGAGCTGATTCGGTGTCGATGTTGTCGGTAGCGCCTGTAGTATCTTCCTGGGTCGGCGCATGTTCCGTAGAGGGTGGTGCCGCTTGCAGCCCGGCGGCCTCAAGGACCATGGGGTCCGAGGCCAGCTTTTCAGCAGCATCTCCATCCTTGTCGCTGTCCTTCTCACTGACAGGATCCTCCTCGATCAATGCTTGAGAGCTGGGGTGGTGGGTTGTTGCGGTTGCCGGTCCACCAAGTAGCCCCGCCTCGAAGACCTTGGGGTCCAAACACATCAGCACCAGCTTGCATGAATGCCTCCCGGCCACCAAAATCTGCTGAGAACCCAACAATCTTCACCACAGTAGCTCCCATGGCACGGATCTTGGCCACAGCCTGCCAAATAATCCACCAAGAAATTAAATTTTTGTCAGTTATGAGTCTTATTTTAATGTTTTATGATGCTTAAGTTTACATTATATCACTGGGGCAATCAAAAGTCTACCGTAAAAAATAACCGAGAATTGGTTCGCTAGCTTCATATACGCTGCCAGTTTTTTGTTTTTGGTTATACTGTAACGTAATACAACAAGTGAAATAACTGATATTAGTAATACTAGTAAGTTGAAACACTGGAGGGATTTTTTTCTATAACTTCTGGAGAAGCTTGTGAATAATGTTCAGCAAAAAAATAACAGGAAATAAATATATACCTACTATTATTATCCAGTTGAAATATATATACCTCAGGGCCCGACATTATGGGCATATCCTTATCTGAGAAAACAATGTCGAATGTTTTCCCTTCAAGGAAAAGGTCAACAGCTTCTTTCCCATTCTCAACAGCTGTAGCCTCGCTATTAAGTTTGTGCAACATGTGCATGAGGATCACACAATCAACTTTGATATCCTCCACAACTAATGCCCTTGGGGCAGACCCTTGTTTCCTGGATGCCATGAAGATACTGCAAACAAAATAAGGAAATCAATTTTAGTACTCTTCATTTCCTGATACTATCAAGAAGATTAAACAAAATCGTAATATTCTCTACTTGATTACAGCATCGCACAACATATATTATTTCCAAATCGCAGTGTCCTATATAGATTATTACAGTACTTCCACAGAACAATGCCAAAGAGCGAAGACAATGACTGCAGATGGAAACCACTAGTTTTAGATTCACATATACATCTCAGTATCCTATATTAATCAAGAATGAATGACATATATGTCGATTAAGGATCTGTTAAGTAGAGAAGCTGTTTTTCTCCATTCTCCTAAAATGAACTCGGAGTCGATGAAACCACTAGTTTTAGATTCACTGGCGGCTCCTTCACGTACTGCAGCGAGGAGCCGGAGCCGTTTTGAGCTGTAACATATGAGGCTTGATACAACAGTATACGCTAGGATCTAGTCGAACTGTGCATATTCTAGAGAAAATATAAAAACAAAGAGAAGGAATTCCGGACCAACCTTGACTTCAGATAATGATGATGCACACGTACGTTTCTTTCTTGGTATTGGTACTCGGCTGCCTCTTTGAGTGCCGCATATCACAGTCACAGGCCCATTTTATAGGCGAAGCCAGGGCAAAAGTTTGCCTGCCCAAATCTGAAAGATTTTCCTGTAGCTGCTTGAAAATAAATGCGAATTGGAAATATGATACGCCCAATTAATTCATTCCTCGTTCCTCATCAAAATGCAAGATCTCACGCCCCTTAGGATCCGACACATGTATATATGGCGTGTAGCTATTGATGAATTCACTCCTGGCCATTGCATGTGAATCCGCCATGGCAATGAGCAGGCCATTGGCGCATGAATCAAGCTATAGCCATTCTTCATTCGACTCCAGTTTTGGATGAATCTAGAGAGATTTCTCATTAAAATTTTGATTGGATTTGTGAAGAAAATGACCGCTGGGATTTCAACAAGGATATCCCAAGTGATTTGTTTTTGCAAACACTCAGATTTCGAGAGTGCCTTGGGACAATCTGCATCTTTCTTATACGTGTTGTTATTCCAGGCAAATCCAGCAGGATGATGCCCTGCATCCTAAATTTTGTTTGGTTTGATTCTTTGCCTGGCCTTATCTTCTCGTAAGGTAGTACACACAGATAACTGGTTACCACTCTTGGAGAAAACTAGATGAATAATCCGCACGTTGCTGCGGGATATTTGCGTAGACGATAGCTATGAACGGATGTGCACAATGTATATGGATAAATGAGAAAAAACGCAGAAGATATTGGTAGCATGAATGTATTATGGAACTAAAGTTTATCAAACATTGAATGACATGCTAATTTGATAAGGAAAGAGTACTTGATCCCAAAGATCTAGTATTGCTACTTGACAGCGAATTTTTGTTTCCTATGTTCTTCCCAAAGTGAAACCGGAGGAAAACTGATATGCAAATGTAGTGCTGTAGGCATAGTCCTACATGGGCATAATGGCATGTCTTCTGTGTCATATACGAGTTGCCATTGAGCAATATGCCAATCACGCATGACTGCTAGAAAATAACTGGTGGTTTTCAGATTTATATTAGTACTGCTACTTATATGGGGGATCATCGGTGATGCTCTTTCTAAGAAATTATCAAGTTTAGACCTATTTATGAAATAAGAAAATGTGTGTTATTTGATTGAAGCATATTTGTAGCTGCTCTTTTGGTAGTACACAGAAGGAAGTTGATAGGAAACACAAACTCAACTGGGGTCCTCTGCTTCTTTGTACAAACTCTATACCAAGAGAGAGAAAAAATATATATCACCTGCAATACTGTTGTGCTTCAAATGGATAGAACAAAGATTTCATTATTTAACAATTGCATCTACATGCTTAGGAGAACACCGCGAGGATGGTAAACTGAATCAAATTTGCTGACATGTAGGGATCCAAAAGGACAAAACACTTCATACGTAAATTTTGTAATCTTGCCTTGCAGGGACAATGATCAATCTTTTTTGAATTGTGTCCTTGGAATGCAATGCGCCAGACTGAATAAATAAGTAATGGATAAAAAAAATACAGAGAAGAATCCGAAAGGTGAAGAGGATCTTCCATTTTGACAGCTGCTGTGAACTTGTCATAGAGCACCTTCCCCGTAGTTGTAACGGAGCGGGCGAACATTAAAGAAGACTAGTGGCAACTGGCAAGGCGAAGCGATAGCCGCTTCCGCTGATGGTGGGTGGGACGAAGTGCAACGGACATGCTGTCTTGTCATCTGCTTGACGGCGTGACGGGCATTCTGAGGGAGCTATGAAGATTTTCCTCATGGAGGTTTCAATATTGGGCCCATGATGAACTTGCAGCGTGAGAATCATAGTTTTAAATAGCGGGCTATTAAAAATAGCGGTAACCTTTTACAACAGCTATGAGGCAATAGCGACGGTACGACACATAGTTTTTTTTATAGAGAAAACATGAAAAACACCAATAATTGATGAAAAAAAATATGGTAAATATGAAATTCGATGAACACAAATATGTTTCTAAGGTTCCACAAGTCTAGGTAACATTACTAACATGACATTACAACATGGTTCATGAAAGTCCAGTGTTTAATTATCTAAAATACCAAATTAGTAGCAAATGATAAGTAAAAAATAATAAATTAAATTGTCAAAATCTATTAGTGATGGCAAAATCTGAAATAGCGCCGCTATTTGAACGCTAAAGCTATGCAATTAGCGGGGTTATAACACACATTAGCGGTTAAAGTTGGCATAGCGGCACAAATAGAAATAGCTTAGCGTTGAGTCTCTCCGGCCGCTATAACGGCGCTATAGCCTGCTATTTTTTTCTATGGTGAGAATTCAGGGAAATCTTGTAGCGGGGATCTCCTGTTTAATTATAGAAGATAGAAGATAGAAGATTTTATCGTAAAATACTATGAGATTATACATGACGAAATTGAATGACTCAGGGGCCATTTGGGTAGGTGAAACGTTCCAGATTCTTGCTCGGAATTTGAGAATCCATGCCGAACGTTGAAGTGACGAAACGGTTTTAGGCTACAAACGTTTCTCGTTCGCTGCCTAGGAACTAGAATTGGCCATGATTTTGCAGTGATTTGAGTACCATTTCATTGGCACCTCTTCTCTTCTAACAATTGTGTTTTTTTTGTTTATAATTTTTTCAGTGCAGCAATTTAACATAGGTTGCATTTGAGTTGCTTCAATTCCCGAAAGAGTTTAGGATTTTTTTAAATATATTTTTTTATATGATTTTTGAAGAATGCATATGTATATTTTTGTGGATCACAATCGGATCTCTCCCAAATGCACATTTCTTGTGGGCCATGGTGTTTACTATTCATCTAATAATATTCATCGATCCCATCTAAGGGCATGTACAACCTAACTTGTCAATTCCACTCCGGATGTCATTTCAGTTTTTCTATTGGAATGGAATGCATCGGTACCGGTCTATTCTGGTGTTCCGTTCTGGTTCTATATGTATTTATACAAAATCACTAATTAAAAGTATATATATATATAGATATATAAATGCATTAGTGAGTTTTTTGCGTTTAATAAATTGTAGCCCACCCTTGCCACCATCATGGGCCCAATTGGCAGCATCGTTGCAGGCCCAAGTAGGAAAGCAAAAAAACAACCGTAACAACAAGCTAATAAAGCATTGTTCCCTTTCCTGCCTTATCCATCCACCATCCGTCCATGAACCAGTGGCCGCCATCGTCAGGGCACGGGGCCGGGAGTGACGCGCTGCTTGGCTGCTGCTCCGCCGCGGGGCCATGGTTGGAAGGTTGCGCTGCTCGGCTGCTATCCCGTCGTGCTGCTCCTTTTCCTTCCCATGAGAGCTCATCGACGCCAATGTCGTGATGTGGTTCTTCATCTGAAATTTCTTGCCCTTTTTTAGCCAATGATCTATTATATTCGTGACTGATTGAGCAAAGCTTTTTCATATCTTCAATGGTTTCGATTTCTTGCGTTTGATGATATACTGCTCTCGTGTTCTTCGACTTGCTTGGTCCATCTGTGGCCGATACCGGGCAGGCGCTATGCTGAGTTCCGTCCGGAACGGGCGAGATTGACCGGATTGGCCCGAATTGACCGAGATTACAGCCGGTACGGGATGACGCTTCCTCTGTACCGCTATTGGGGGCGGAACGAGATATACTGCCTGTTCCGGCCGGAATGGAACTGATAACTATGTGTACAGCGCGTTTGTACAAGTCCTTTGCGTGATGTGAATTTTTCAAAAAGACCCTAGCCTACCACATTCAACGAGGAGAGAGGCGCTACTCGTTGCCTTGCGAGGCGATAATGAGCGTGCATGCTCTGAGCTATGGCGCCGGCTGGATGTCGCTTTGTATGGGGAGGGCTCCTCGAGTCAACGAGCTGACAAATCTAGTGCAGACATGTGCGGTGGAAGCTGGGCGCGAACGAGATGATTTTTTGTGTGCCAAATCCACCCTCGTCTCCGTAGGTGTTCTTCCCTCTCCACGGCCCCTTCCTAGGCCGCGACGTGGAGGACTTGAGTGCAGCACCAGCTTCGGGGCGGAAGAGCTAGGATCTTTTAGGTATTATGTACTGCATACCTCCGTCCTCAGAAGAATGTAATTCTAGCACAGTGTCACGTTTTACAATCTAAAGTTTGATCAATTATAGATAAAAAAAATATCCATCTTTATGATACCAAATAAATCACATTAGATTCGTTACGAAATGTATTTTCATAATAAATTAATTTAAAGCCATAAATATGAATATTATTTACTAAAAATTTAGTCAAATGTGAATCACTTTTCCTAATAAGTAACCTATAGTTGCATTCTTTTTAGGACGGAGCAGCAGTTTTAGCCTTTCATGTCAATGCAAGTCTATAGACAAATTCAGGAAAAAAAGAAGCCACATTGCGTAGCATCAAATAGTTTTGAGCCATTTGCAAAAAAGCCTATTCGACCGAGGCTCCACCGACCAAGT